CACTTGACAGGAGGCAACAAACTGATATGAGCTGCTGGATTATAAAACGATAAAAACGGAAAACGTTGTCGAACATGGTTCAGCTTCATTCAGTTCAGTAGGAGGCGATTTGGGCGCTAACCGGCCCAAAGTAAACATCATGCCCTCTACCTACTGAAAGGAGAATAAAGATTCACAGACAAGGAGGACGAAAGACGTGGATGATGGTCAATAAGGGTGAGGGGGGGTCGGCATATGTATGACTTTGCTCTGACATCGCTGCATGCAATTTTTGCACTAGTCAAGCATCGTTGCTGGTTCGCTTTCATGATGAACAAACAATTTTTTCGCGACATTTGTGTCACTTTATGACGCTCCACTGGCACGAAACATCTATTAGCCCCCGTCAAAAAATATAAGCAAAATCTGGTGTGTTAAAATGTTGCTCGATAATCCTGTCGAACATCTGCTGGCTCTCAAGAGGCTGTCAAATCCAAAGCCTCACCATATCTAATCCTTAAGACACTTTGTTAGTGAATGTTCGGTAAGAAATGTATACTGCAACGAACTTATCAAAAACGAGCTAATCGTGAACAACAGTATCGAATATTCCTCTGACGTTATTCCTAATCAAGAGTCATGGCTGAATGAAGACGTCGTTGACGCGCTTACCAGCTTTCCAAAATATCATTTGTTCAGAGTGAATTCTCTATGCACCGATACTAACGCATAAAGCTACAAAAACCAATAGATTTTGATTGATTGGCTGAAAATAAAAACTTTCCGTAAAAATTAACGACAAAATCTTCACATTTTGCACCTTCTACACTCCTATCGTCGTTCCTCTAAATGGAGGGTAATGCGAATGAATGTTGTAGTATGGCAGATGGTTTCTCAGATGCCATGCCTTCACGACTACCACTTCATGAACTTTTGGACTGCAAGGTAAATGGTGGATTTTGCTACTACTGTTTTGAAGAGTCACTTAATCCTTGTCTGACAGTATGCGGTTGTGCTCGTTCCTTACATCGCTGGCAAGCGCGAGACGGATGTTCAGTACTTCTTCCAGTGTCGATGTCTTTTCCAATGAACCACTAAAACTTGACGAAGATTTCGAAGTGTTTGGTACAAAAACTGGCTCGGAGCTAAAGGCCGAAGAAAGAAGAAAATTACAGTATCCCACAGACATCAGATCGACTAAGTCAGGAAGAAAAAACAAACGCGCCCTTCGTTTGACACAGCAGCCCAGTGCGACTTTTGCTGAGGGCTTAAAATAATACCAGTAAAATACGACAGGGCACAACTGGGATTGTAATTTAAGGCAACAACGCACTTAAAAATTATGCATACAACGCAGCACGCTGAAGTCGAGGTAAACCGGAAAAAAATCACTAGAGGGTAGAAACCCAAAAAGGTGAAAATAGAGCAAGAAAATAACCGTAAAGTTGATAAACGTTTAGAGGCACGAGCTTCATCTACTCCTACTAGTTAGATTTTTTATGCGGTTCAGAGTGCAGCACTGCTTTCCTCACGAATCCATCCCATCACCTGAAGTAGCAAATTCTGGAAGGCAAAAATAATTACAAAACCAGTACAATGTGCAATGTCAATCTTACTTCCCACATAGTGGTACTCGCTTGTTTATTAAGAAGGCTCAGAAACCCGCATAGATTTTAACCTACGTTCTTGCGACCGCGATTTCGATGCATATTCGCTGATCAGCTATGCCTGGATGAAATCAAGTTTCATACTAAAAGGAAAAATATATCACTAGATGAGTAAGGGGAGGAAAAGAGGACGCGGAAGGAGCAGTTTACTGTCAATATAGAGTATTATTCGCGTAAAATCTAAATGAAGATAGTACATTTAATGTCTGCAAAAACAGAATAGTAAGTTGCTGATTATCCGTTGTGTTGCGAATGCCTCCAGAAAGGAAGGCTAAACAACTGTTCCTTACAAATCCGACCGGCAAAAGGCCC